AGTCACACCTCAAGCCTCTGGTGAATAACACAAGCAAGGATCTAGAGAGGAGGAAACAACGTCAGCAAACAAACGGGTTTAAGTCTGATCAGACACACAGGTAATGACAGGAAGTGACCAGAGGAGCTGACAGGAAGTGACCAGAGGAGCTGACAGGAAGTCACCAGAGGCAGAGCATGACATCGACAGTTATTCCAGAGAGTTCTGATCAGCATCAAATCCATCCTAAATACTGTCCTTTAATAAAATCATGAAGGTCGTAGCCGAGTTCATAAAGAGCTGGGTCTTTAGCTTTTCCCTAAAGGTGCAGAGGGACTCTGCAGATCCAATGGAGTTTCGTCGTTCGTTCCACCACCGGGGGGCGACAGAGGAGGAGAGTCTAATTAGAGACTTAGGACCACGTTTTGAAGGTTGGGTCAGCACCACTCAAACCTGCTGGAAGTTGCAATTGAAGAATTGCTAAAAGTTTCCCTTCACTTCCAGTCTTTGTGCTAAGCTAGGCTAACACATCCAGGATGCATCTCTATGGGGGGGGGGGGGGCACAGGGATTAAACTCACTTTGACAGAGGATTAAACAATAAATCTACTCCAACATAACGAGGGCACGTTACACAGTATCAAACACACAGCTCTCCTACACCGACACACTGTAATGAGGTGTGTGTGCTGTGTTAACAAAGTGAAGTGCACAATGAACGACGCAGTAACACCCGGTATGTCGTGCTACACTCGAGTGCGTGCTGCTTTTATACTTCAAGCATTCATCAAATACTGTTGCTCCTTCATGAAGGTGAACTCACTCCACCGGATCAATGACGTTCATTATACGATTCGTCAGTGCTGCCTTCATCCTCTTTCTTCATTAGGATCCCCATTAGCAGCAGCTAATCTATTCCCTGTTTATGTGTGAAAGAACAAATCTCAGAAGCACTCATCTTAACTCCTGTAGTAAACCAATGAACACACATGACTTCCTCTGTCATACTTGAATTATTTGATTACAAAGTAGGACTCGGCTGATATCTTTCTGAGATCTATCTTCTATGTTAATGTAAGGCATGGGAGCTACTGTAGGATGTGTGTGAATGTTGTGTGTTTTCGGGACGGGGAAAGGGGGCGTCGAGGGGATCTGGGAAACTGCTCTACATCTTCACTTCACGTTTTAAAAAAAATCTAACCACACTGATATACTGTACCGAGCCACAGATTGGGAGGAGTTGTGATTTCAATTTCCAAGGACAGGGCGTCGCTTTTTTTGGACTCTTGAATCATCCCTGAGCAGGAGGAAGATATTTTTATTTTTATTTGTCCGGTTAAAACACAATTCAGTTACACAAACAGCATAAATAATCACCATCAGTATAAATCTAACTACATTCATTTTGAAGCACAGTTAAGTGGAGGTTCTTCTTCTTCTCTTCCAGAATTCCCACCTCGTCATGGTCGAGGACTTTATGTACCACTAGATCCTTTCAGACTGCCGCTTCAAGCCGCCATATTTACACCCCACTGGGACAAAGTGATCCCCCCCTTCTGTACTGTCCTCTAGAGGTAGTAACAGAGGCGTTACAGAGGAGAGAGAGGATCAGCTGAGCCAGCGGGGGAGCGCAGCGCTGTGTGTGTGTGTGTGTGTGTGGAGCTCCTGCTGTGCGCCGGAACACAGTGTGACCTCACAGACTTGGACAGTGATATTTACGACCTCGTGGATTCAATATGAATGTAGAAAGACGTACTGACGGCACTTTTGCTGGAAAAATAAGCAGTCTGAAAGGGGCGACCATGGGAGGTGTATTTTGTGACCTCACAGCTCCTGGTTGGACTTCATCAAGCAAACTGGTCCCATTAAAGAACGACCAGCAGCAGCTGAACATGGGAAACAGGTCTTTCTTCTTGGACCTGGGACGCGGCAACGCCTTGGCATGGCAAGTCCAACTGGGACTCGCTCATTCTCTTCAGTTTCATCAACAAATCAATTCATCAGTCAGTTGATACAGGGAGCTCTGTAACTCACCCACTGAGCCTTTGGCGGCGATGGCGACCGTCTCCAGGAGGACCTGCACGATGCCGGCTCTGACCCGCGGCGTGTTCTTGTTGTTGTTGTCCAGGTGGCTCAGGACCTGCTGGATGACGTGGTGCGAGTGCTGAGCCTGGACGACGAGGAGGAGAGAAAAACAAAGATCGTGTTTGGAATTAGTCATGTGGTTAAAATGTGACTGACCGGCTGCTTGATTCTCCTGAAGAAGTCGATTAAAGGGTAGATATAAATATTTCCCCAAAAGTCAAACACTTACTGCTTAAAAACGTATACATATGGGTTAATGTTCATCAAGCTATGGAGCTGCTCTGTGGTAACCATGGACACCAACAGAGCAGAAAATGTTTACTGGAAACGTTCAGGATGTTGAAGGACGATTTCCCTGGAGCTGCTGGATCTCAGCTACGACGTGCTCTTTAAAAAACAGTGAAGTCAGCAGAGCAGTCGACCGTGTCTCTGCAGGAGGCGAGCTTGTTTTTTTCATCGTTTAAATCTAACAAGACGCAGGATGCTGTCACCTCAGAGGCAGACAGAGCAACACCTGGGAGAGACACGAGACGCAAAAATCTGCCAACTCCAGTCAAAGACAGACACGCACAAAAAACACCAGACACTTGAACGGAGTTGCAGCCACACAATCTTCTCGCACTCACACATCTGGACCCCAGAACACCTGAGTGTGTCCCCCGGGGATTTAGGCTGAAAAAAAGGTTTAAATATAATGTTTAATGTTACTCCTTCAAGCCTCAGTTAGAGAAGCCCCTGAAATGTGTTTTCATGTTTGTAACAACTTTGTTACAACATTAAAGGAGCAGTATGTAACTCTGACACCTAGTGTTTAAATTGGGTACTGCAGTCCAAATTAAAAACAGAGAGGGCTGTCTCCCCCCCCCCTCCAGAGTGGATGCTCACTCAGGTCACCATGTGGTGGACTCTGAAGCTTCAGTGTTTATCCAGCTCTGCATGGGTCTGTAAACCTTTCTGTGTTCTAACCTCTCTCCATTTTTCAAAAGCATCTCCAATATTGATCCTAGTTTGAGCACGTTTCTGCTCGTGGAGCTTATTAGAAACATGCAGAGGCTTTTTAGGTCGGGTACAATCACTTCTATCTGAACCACTTCTATTGACCGCTTCCATCGCTGCAACACCTGTTGACCTGATAACTGCTCTCATATCTGGCAAACCAAGGGGCGTCCAAAACGGCCGTGTGGAGGTTGCCTTAAACCCGCATAAAATGATTGGCCGCAGAGAGAACATGTTTTTCTTTCTCTCTCTTCTCTCTACAAGTTTTGGGTCATGAAAAACTTCCTGAGGCAGAGCTCTGACATAATCCAAAAACAAGCTTAAGAACAAACAGTAAAGTGAAGACCAGGTTTGGGGAACAACCCGGTCCTAATGAGAGAAGCAGGTTGACACAGCCTGGGAAAAGGACTTTCTAAGAACCAGAATTCATAGCTAAAAAATAACCCACAAGAGCAACAGAGGAGCTGAGCAGACGTCCAAAAATAGAGGGTCAGAGTTCCAGTGATCAGCTGGGTGCTGCCTCTGCCTGTGGAGGCTTCAGGGACACTGCTGAATTCAAGCCTCTGACTGGATGACAGCCCGTCAACATGACTGACAGCTGCTGAAGTGAGATCAAAGAGAATGAGGAGGGCGGGGCTAGCAGTACATCTCGAGCAGCAAAGAAAAAATATCATGAGACACCGTTAAAGTCAATCTGATGAAGTGTTTGTAGTACCAGTAGATGTGTGTTAGTACCAATCAGCTGTTGCATGGCTCACTTCAACGTTACCATTATTGAAAATAAATGTTATTTAAACGCAGTCTGTAAAATCTGCCACCATGTGATGCAGCCATTGGTCACTTGCTCCCGTGCTAACTCGTGTGTACTGTACCTGGATGGAGTACATGATGATCCTGAAGCAGGAAACTGCAAACTCGTTGGGGTCCCACAGGTGGTGGTTGTCCAGGTGACTGAGGAAGAAGAAAATAAAGACAGTCATAAAAATTATCTGCAGCATTAAGACGTAGACGCGACGATTCTTCTGTCAGTAAAAACCAGGAACAGCATCTTTATTGTTCTGGGCTGATTAACACTCATATCTGACTTTAAACAGATTTATGTTTTTTGAATTATAAACCAAAAAACGAGACATCATGTAGAAAACGTCAGACTAAAAGCCTCAAACAATCCCTGATTGTGTCGCAGTGAGAGGGACCAATCAGGAGTCATTGTCGTTTCCTCCATGACCTCCATCTTTGTCGTTTCCTCTATGACCTCCATCTTTGTCGTTTCCTCTATGACCTCCATCTTTGTCGTTTCCTCCATGACCTCCATCTTTGTCGTTTCCTCCATGACCTCCATCTTTGTCGTTTCCTCTATGACCTTCATCTTTGTCGTTTCCTCCATGACCTCCATCTTTGTCGTTTCCTCCATGACCTCCATCTTTGTCGTTTTCTCTATGACCTCCATCTTTGTCGTTTCCTCCATGACCTCCATCTTTGTCGTTTCCTCCATGACCTCCATCTTTGTCGTTTCCTCCATGACCTCCATCTTTGTCGTTTCCTCCATGACCTCCATCTTTGTCGTTTCCTCCATGACCTCCATCTTTGTCGTTTCCTCCATGACCTCCATCATGTCGTTTTCTCTATGACCTCCATCATGTCGTTTCCTCTATGACCTCCATCTTTGTCCAACAAAAGCATCTTATCCTCACTCTTTGACAGCCAAGGCTCGACATACAAGAATAATCCCATGTTTCATTTTGGAAGGCATGTTGTTTCTAATTTAAATTAGAGAAGGTTTAAAGGTATGTGAGAGTCCTAAAGAGCTGGTGAATCGTTGAATTCAATGAATGTTGGACTGGACTGAGTTTGGGGTTCAGAGGTTCGATTACAAATTCCCAATTTTTGTGAACACGACATTAAAATTCAATTCATGAGCAAAATAATGATGCATATGAACGTCAGATTGGTGAGTGAAATCGAGGTCTGCCTGCAGACTCAGAGATATAATTAGATAATGCAGAGGAGGATCAAATAAACAAAGAAAACAAGAAGAGGAATCCAGAGACATCCCACCTCTGATCTTAGAAAACAGGGCAGGTACAGAAAGTAGAGGCGTGTAATTCCTCTTGAACTCTGAGCTGAAGCCACGGGGGGTCGAGATAAACACGAGGTCAGAGGTTTTTATAACACATCATGTGGGGGGGGGGGAGATGAAGAAGATGTGCAGATAAGAGCGAGTGGGAAGATGGAGGATGACAGATTTACTAATCTCTGTGGGAGCCGACCTGCTGCCTCAAGGTACAATCATCTATTACATACATCTGCTATTTATGTCTGACAACACACACACACACACACACACACACACACACACACACACACACACAGAGGCAGGTTGACTTATTTACCCACCCACTTACAGCACGAGGAGCATCAATAACATCACCGACTTCAAAGCTGAATCCTCAAACTGAGTTTTAGAGGAGAGACCTGAACAGCCAGTAACGGAGAGTGACTGTTATCCCACGTTGGAAAAAAGGTTTTTGGATAAAACTGGAACAGGTCGATGTGCAGAATGAAACATCGCTGTTTGGGGGCGTGCAGTCTGCTGGCTGCTCTAACGCTCTCTACTCATTGAAGTCGTCCAAAAAGGCTTACAGTCTTCAGATAACGCAGCTGTCAGCATGCAGGCTGCTATGAAGGAGCTCTGGTGTGACAGTGAACTCGTGGAACAGGAAGGAGGAAGTGGTTGTTGACTGGTTGGTGACAGAGGAAGGCATGGTCAGTCCCCGTACTTCAGATAGTTTACCTACACTTCTGAATACTTTGAGATTTAATCCAAAAGGTAACGGGTTGGTTGAGGTGCGTGCAAACATTCACCTCTCGTCAAACGAACAAAATTTGTTCCAAAAATTTCTTTAAAAACTGAAGAAATGAAACAAACAAAAAACAAAACAGAAGTCACAAACACAAAAAATAATCAAACCGACTTATGTTTGTTAAACACCATTTTTTTTTTAAACAAAAATGTTAATCTGGAAAATGAACTGCACATTCTTAATTCTTTCATACTCACAACAGCACCAAAGGAAAAGTTAATGGACAAACAGACTGGATTTCTATGGCTCTGAAGGACTACATTATGGCTCTAATGTCGTCTTCCAACCAAGTGCTTTCACACATGTACAGACACACTGGAGGTCAAAGGTCATGCATGTACACACTCACAGAAGGTTAAAAGTCATGCATGTAGACGTACACTGAGAGCAGGTAAGTGCCCAACTGTCCATTAGTACGCACCACTTTCACACATTAAGGCACTGATTGATGACTTCAGAACAACTGAGAGTTCAGGGTCTTAGTCGACATGTGAGCTAGTCTTCTGACTCCTCAGAGCGCCTTCACACCACAGGCCACGCCCACACGAAGCAGGTCACGCCTACACACAGCAGGTCACGCCCACACACAGCAGGTCACGCCCACACGAAGCAGGGCACGCCCACACACAGCAGGTCACGCCCACACACAGCAGGTCACGCCCACACACAGCAGGTCACGCCTACACACAGCAGGTCACGCCCACACGAAGCAGGTCACGCCCACACGAAGCAGGCCACACACAGCAGGTCACGCCCACACACAGCAGGTCACGCCTACACAGCAGGTCACGCCCACACGAAGCAGGCCACGCCTACACAGCAGGTCACGCCCACACGAAGCAGGCCACGCCCACACACAGCAGGTCACGCCCACATGAAGCAGGTCACGCCCACACGAAGCAGGTCACGCCTACACAAAGCAGGTCACGCCTACACACAGCAGGTCACGCCCACACAAAGCAGGTCACGCCTACACACAGCAGGTCACGCCCACACACAGCAGGTCACGCCCACACAAAGCAGGTCACGCCTACACAAAGCAGGTCACGCCTACACACAGCAGGTCACGCCCACACACAGCAGGTCACGCCCACACAAAGCAGGTCACGCCTACACGAAGCAGGTCACGCCCACACACAGCGGGTCACGCCCACACACAGCAGGTCACGCCCACACAAAGCAGGTCACGCCTACACGAAGCAGGTCACGCCCACACACAGCAGGTCACGCCCACACGAAGCAGGCCACGCCCACACACAGCAGGTCACGCCCACATGAAGCAGGTCACGCCCACACGAAGCAGGTCACGCCTACACAAAGCAGGTCACGCCTACACACAGCAGGTCACGCCCACACAAAGCAGGTCACGCCTACACACAGCAGGTCACGCCCACACACAGCAGGTCACGCCCACACAAAGCAGGTCACGCCTACACAAAGCAGGTCACGCCTACACACAGCAGGTCACGCCCACACACAGCAGGTCACGCCCACACAAAGCAGGTCACGCCTACACGAAGCAGGTCACGCCCACACAGCGGGTCACGCCCACACAAAGCAGGTCACGCCCACACAAAGCAGGTCACGCCCACATGAAGCAGGTCACGCCCACACGAAGCAGGTCATCCTGGTTTTCATCAGTTGAAGTTTGTAAGTCTTTGGTAACTTCACCATTAGAGCTTCTACACAAAAAAAGAATGTAACATTTCCGGGTGTTAATATGTGCTGAAAAGTTGTTGACATTTTCTTAAAATGTCAGAGCCCACGGAGGTTACCTTTTTAAATCTTAAACATTTTTATCATGCAACATTTCTCAGAAAAAGGAAGCCGGGGCGATCTTTGTCGTCAGTCACTTAGCAACCATGTTGTGACTCAAAGCGCCAGGAGGATGTTTAAAAACTCTTTGGTTGTAAAGGCGAACAGACGCCGGATGGATTTAATGACGAGCTGCCAAAGTGAAGAATGGAACGCCTCTCGGGTTTGGGATGTCACCCAATGAATCGTCAACTTATTTCTTAAAGACGCTGGTGACAATTGATATTTTTCCCACAGGTTATTGATCACTTGAAAGCGCCCACATTTCTCCTGATTGGTCCAGATTCTGGTTTTTGAGAACTGAAGGTCAACGGGCTCAAAAACTTCCACGCGTCACGACCATCGTTGGTGTTTGAGTCTTTGAGGACTTGAATGTTTTTTCTTGTTGGTATGAGAGGCGTCAAAGCAGCAGCAGGAGATGATCAGGATTACTTCAGACCTCCGTCTCATCTCTCCGCTCTCTGACCTTGAGCAGCTTTTAGACTGCACACACCATTAACACTTCATTCATGTGCGCAGCGGTAACCCTCGGCCTGAGGGCAAACCGCTGCCATCGACTTTGTGTCAGCTTCAATCACAATGCTTTTCTTTTCTCACACTCGGTTTCTGCACCATGGACACGTGGCCGGCCGTCCCTTCCATTACTCTTACCCTCTGATGGTAACTGATGGGCTGATTAAACCGTTTGAGGGGCAGATGACTCTTTGTTTCTGAACACATCAGCTTTTAGAGATTCACTCATGACAGCGTTTGTGGTATAAAACAAAACAACAAACACACGTATGATCGTTGTTCTGAAACGTCAAAACGGAGTGTTTTATTCTGAAAATAAACTCAATGTTTTAATGTTGTTTTGGTGTCTGACTTCCCGTTCTGCTCGATCTTTTTAATGGCAAATTGATGCGTCGTGCTCCAGCATCCAGAATGAATAGAAGCCTGTGTCTCTGCTATGGAAGACTCCGGACTGACGCAGCGCAGCGGAGCCAGTGGAATC